TGGTTTCATGAGGGTGGGGTCCTCATGATGGGATTAGTGTCATTAGAAAAGGCCTGAGATCTAGCTCTCTCCCCACTGTATGAGGAAACATCAAGAAGGTGGCTAGCCAGGAAGAGGGACCTCACTAGGAGCTGAATCAGCTGGCACCTTGGACTTCCAGCTCCCAGAACTGGGAGGGAAAAAATGTCTGGTGTATAAGACACTCAATTTATGGTATTTTGTTATAGCAGCCCAAGCAGACTACTATAATCCCCAAAGAATGACAAATAACAGCCATTTTGCCACCATGAGGAAGCCCACTTGGAAAACCACAGAAAGAAATCAGGCCCTTCATGATAGCCTTAGGGTACTAAATGCAGGCTTCTCTGATGTCTTAAGACCGTTATTGCATGACATAATAAATTCCTCTTGGGTTTTCTGTTTGCTTTTGTTAATTCAACTTGTTTCTGTCACTTGCTGAATAAAGAGCTTCCATCTGCCGAGGGGTAAAAGGAAGACAAGGGGCATCAGTCCCAGAGACTGGGGAGAAGTTTAGATTAGACCATTGGCCTCACGGTGTATTAGACAGGGTTCTGGGTGCAAGTGACAGAAACACAGCTTGAATGAGTTCAAGTCAAAAAGGGGAAATTAATGGCTTGGGGTCATTTACTTAATAAATATTTATTGAGCACCTACTGTATGCTAGGCAGTGTTCTAAGCGCTGGGGCTACAGATAAGAACAAAACAGACAAAAAGCATTACCTTCATGGAGCTGACATGGGCAAGTAAGCAAAATACATAGTATGTCAGATGGTGGTAAGTGTTATGGAGAAAAGGTAGGGAAGGAAAATGGGGAATTGCTGGAGAAAGTGGTTGCAATTTTAAACAGATTGTAAGGGGAGGCCTCACTGAAAAGATAACATTTGAATAAGGACCTGAGTAGAGAAGGGAAGGAGGAATATCAAAGTTGAAATTTTTTCTTGGTAGACCCAGCCTCAAAGAAGAGAGGGGCAGGGAGGAGGGGGTGTTGCAAGAGCAAGCGTAAATCTGTGAGGCAAGAGCATGTCTGTCTTGTCAGAGGAACAGTGAGGAGGCCAGTGTGGCTGCAGCAGGACCAGTGAGGTGAAGAGAAAGAAGAGATGAGATCAGAATGGTACCACAGCTCTAACCTAAAGGGCCATTCATTTATTGACTATTTTACCTAGTGGCAAAATCACACACCATCCTCCAGGGGAGAGATTCAAACCTGGAGAGGTCAGGAGACAGAGAACAGAGTGGCAAACGGACGGGAAAGCCTGTAATTGCTCTCCACTGTGCGTCGCTCTGGGCAGTTCATCGGCTAGGTCTTTTAGCCGAGGACGATGGAATGACCATTCATGCTCTGCTGAGAATTCTGGTTTCATCTTTCCTGACCAGCTAGATGCGATTCCATCCCGACGGTCCAGGGAGGATATACTACTTATATGCCAGGAATCTCGCTTAGGAACCCCGGATTTGGTCCCACTAGAAGCGTTTGCTAAGCAACAATTGTGGGCGTGACAATTGTGGGCGGAAAGAGCCTGAGCCCCGCCCCCAGAGGACTTAGGCATTACAGGCTCTTCATCTTTAAGATCTACCCCCACAACTTTTTAAAAGGGCGGGGCGACGAGCGCCGCTGTCTCTCCTTCTCTCCACCCTGCTGGCGCTCACGTGTGTTTGGTTGTTCAATGACAGATCTTCTTCTGGGACTTCCTGGTCGCCGCAGCCAATCAAAGTGCTCTTCCCGTCCTGACCATTGTCAGCCCGCGGCCAATTGGCGCACCTCTACAACGCCCCTTAAAGGCGCAGCCAACGCTTCCCCAGCCGAGGCGAACCAATTCTTCGGTTCCTGCCCCCAACTGCAGTATGGAGTCGTCCCGGGGGCCGCCTGGGCCGGAGGCGGACTTTCTGGCTCCCGGGGAACCGCAAACCGTGATTTTCGACAGCGGGCCGGGCCGAACGCCCTCTGAAAAGCCCTCAGGCCTCGGGCTGTCCGGGGAGGAAGAGGCCGAGAACGTTGGGGGCTCAAGCCGCTACCCTAGGGCGTCCTCGAAGACTTCGAGCTGCAGCTTCGTCCACCGGCCGGAATGGGAGGCTCCAGAGGAAAAGCCGGGCCGCGGAGGGACGCCGTCTGGGGCGGGGAGCCGCCTTGGGGTGCTGGGTCCCGAGCACGACTCGCATGGATCTTCCCGGCGCAAGGACCCTGAACTGCCGGAGGACAAGCCTGTATCCGAGAGGGTCTGCTGTCGAGGGAGCCCTGGAGGCGGCGGGATGGAAGTTGAGCAGAAGGAAGACAACGAGGAAACGGCAGCAGCCGGCAGAACTGGCCGCTCGTTCTCCAGCCGCCTTCAGGACAGCCGCAGCCTGGACGGGCTGAGCGGGGCGTGCGGCGGCGGCACGGGGTCCGCAGGGGGTGCCGAGTCTGGAGCAGGCGGCGGGCGGCGCGCCACCATCTCCAGCCCCCTGGAGCTCGAGGGCACGGTGAGCCGCCATGGCGACCTCACCCACTTCGTCGCCAACAACCTGCAACTCAAGATCCGTCTGAGCGGCGCCCCTCAACCCCCGCCGCCTGCCCCTGTTCGGCCTTGTTCAGCGCCCGCACCCACTCCGGCCATCCCTCCCATCGACCCCGACGTACTGCGGGACCTGGAGCGGCTGAGTCGGGAGCTGGGCGGCAGGGTAGACCGACTGCTTCGCGGGCTAGGTGGCGCGGTGCAGGAGCTGACAGCGCTAAGCGTGGGCTGCATCCAGACCTACCGCGACGCCGTGGACTCCCTAGGCGAAGCTGTGGACATGAGTATCAAGGGCATGTACACCCTGCTGGCTCGCTGCGAGGAGCTGGAGCGGGCTCTGCAGCCGGTTCAGGGGCTGGCGCGCCAAGTCCGGGATATCCGACGCACCCTGGAGGTTTTGGAAGCCCTGTGCAAGTGACCAGGAGGTCAGGAGAGGCCTGGCAAGGCCAGGGACCAGCAGGATCCTAAGGAGCCCTAGTGGGACCTGCCCACTGAGGGGAGACCTAGATATTGGAGGCTCTTCTGGATGGATGCATTTAGCAGGCCTGCGACCACTCGCTGGGCCTTGTGCAGGTGTATATGGGCAAGTTCTAAAGGCTCTCCTGGTGGGAGGGAATGTTGATCTGCTTCTGTTTAGTTGGCCATCTGCAGCTACCTTGTTCTCCCAACTCTCTTCCCTAGTTAGAGCACCATCTCTGGGAACCCAGGGCTCTTGGTCTGGGCTTGGGAGACCTGACTGCTATATGTGATCAAGAAAGGAGAACAGAGGAGGCCCCAGCCCCCACTGTGGCTACCCTGACCTCCAGTGGTCACATCTCAGGTGACAGGGGCTATGGAAGCTTGAGTGGTCCTTGACCGCATACTATACAGACAAGGATGCATGCTTGTAGATGGTTAACCTCCTGCTTCTGCCCTCTGGCCCCCTACCATCCTACTTCCCCAGCCATAACCAGGGTGGAGCAAGAAGGAATGTATTGCATGGTAGAGGGGATGAGTTGGGAGGGGTCTCACTGCTCTCAGGGTTCAGATAGAATTGTTGCTGGTTTTGAAGCCCACCTGTTGTGGAGTGTTCTAATCAGTTTTGACTTTGAGTTTTTGTGGAATTAAAGTGCTGCTGCTGCTAAGGCTGAGGCTGTGTCTGTGTGGGGTTACAGGGACTGATGAGCCAAAGGAATGGGAATGAGGGTCGGTCTTTTTCGTGGAGTTCTCTTGAGGCCAGTGCTGGGAGTAGGGTGGGATTCCCAGGCTACATAGGGAAGGATATAGTTCCTGCCCCTAAGCGGCAGATCTGAGGGGAAATACAAGACACAGATATGGACTCAGAGATCCAGTAAAAGCAGAGTCGGAAGCAAGGTGCTCCAGAAGAGAAAGGGAAAGCGGTTCTTCTCAGTTCCTGAAGTGGACAGGCAGGGACTGGGAAAACTGGACATTTTGGCTCTAGAGGAAGACTGGAAACACTTCTTAGCTCCATTCCTGACCCCATTTCCCACACTCTGTTGATCAGTGCCATATGCATGGTCTGAGACAATCTTTGTTCCAATACCTGTGAGCCTTCTTGTTTACAAGGCACATAGGAAATTCTAGGAGCCCTGTGTATTAGTCAGGAGATTTAGAAAACAGAGGTCACGGAAAGAGATCCAGTTTCCTTACACTTTACTCCTCCCCCTCAACACACTAGCACTTTGGACTGAATTTAAACACGTTTCTCTTTAGGGTGGGAAAAGTTCTGGGATTGGTAATGCTGCTTCACGAGACTTACCGAGTAACAAGAAATAGTCAGTACAGTCTTAAAAGTGGTAAGTATCTGGCCCGTACGGGGATCGAACCCGCGACCTTGGCGTTATTAGCACCACGCTCTAACCAACTGAGCTAACCGGCCAGCTGACAATTTCTTTTTAATATGAGACTATGTAAAAGATATAATATTGATCAATGGTGATTATAGAAAAATTTAAAAATTGGTAAAACTATTTTGGGACAGGAAAACAGAATACGAAGATTGAATGAGCATTTCGGGAAGTAATAGCCAAGCCAAAATGTTGACAAGCACTACGGTGCTTGGCGGCAGGTCTAGGCGCAAACAGAGCGCAGGACTAACAACCTACACGTAGCGCTGACTCATACAACCGGAAATGGAAAACGCCACCTGATAGCACCCGGTAGATTCCCGAAAAGAGAGAAGGCATGGATCTGTAGAAAATCGTAGCCCAGAGATTCAACGTTACTTCCTCGCAGTGTGTTTGCAAAAGCAACCGACAACAGAGGCACCGCTGGGATTCGAACCCAGGATCTCCTGTTTACTAGACAGGCGCTTTAACCAACTAAGCCACGGCGCCTACCGCAGTCGCGTTTGCAAGTTATTTCCTTGACCAGGTCAGATTCATGTCAGAACGTGAATGCCAGGATCTCCTTCCCAATTAAGCTTTGGCTGTACTGGAAAACCGCGTAGAAGGGACGAAAACCGCAGCTGCTGTGAGCGAAAGTGAAGGGATGACACAGAAACTGAATCTGGCAGAGGGAAGGTAACAAGAGAAATTCATGTCTTTGGATTACAAAACGCAATAGAGGTCGTAGTATTCAGAAACCGACGAGGATGGGATTCGAACCCACGCGTGCAGAGCACAATGGATTAGCAGTCCATCGCCTTAACCACTCGGCCACCTCGTCCACGAGAAAGAACTCTAAAATCTTCTCTCTGGGGTCTGAACTCCTCTCAGAGTAAGCGTGAGCCCACCCACGTCGCGAAGGGAGCGCGTTTCGAGGGTTTCTGCCCAGCACCGCAAAGACGATTGAAAGGCTCTGGCTGCCGAGCGACCTTTTAACCTGCGCCAGCGCCCAAACCTCTCCCTCTGCGTTGAGCGATTCGGCACGTGCCTCAGTCTTCAGGAGCCCCGCTCTCCGTCCATATTTACGGTAACCCAGATCTATCGCAAAAACTACCGCGAGATCCTTGGGCTCCCCCAACGGGGCGGCTCGGGACTTCGCGCCAAGATTCCTTCCGTTCTGGCTCCTACGAGGTGCTTCTTCTCTGACCTGGACGTTGGGGCTTCAAAAGTTGAAAATGAGGAGAATAAATAAAAATACTCAACCCGTTAGAAAAGAGCCAGTTGACCCCGACGTGATTTGAACACGCAACCTTCTGATCTGGAGTCAGACGCGCTACCGTTGCGCCACGAGGTCAGCCGGCCGCAATACTGGACAGGTCTTCTCATGAAGACTGGACGGCCAGGCGGCGAAGCGCAAGAGCCGACGGCTTTCCTAAACCTCTAAAATCCCGCTTCGTGGCGCCTGTGCTGTCCCGCAGGCCTCGTGAGACCAGCAGGGCCCTCCGCACCCCGTCCCCTGTGTCCTGCCGACGACCAGGCCGCCCTGAACTACTTCCCTGGGGGACCCAGAGCTAACAACCCAGACCGGATGGACTTACGCAGAAACGGGTGGAAGAACTGACACCAGGCAAACGGAACAAGGTGGAGCCAAGCTAAAGCCCCCGCCACGTGGGGATGAGGGATTACCTCCTCCAGAGGTGCGTCTCCTCCCCGGCTGCACATTAAAGTTGCCTGCCGAGTCTTACAGATAGCTACACAGAAACCCCAGATTTGGATATAATGATTTAAAAGTCCGGAGTAAACAGATACACAATACTATATATAACATACACAACAAAGACCTAATGTATAGCACAGGAAACTATATTCAGTATCTTGTGATAACTTACAATGGAAAAGAATATATATGTGTATCTGAATCATTATGCTGTACACCTGACGCTAACACAACATTGTAAATCAACTATACTTCAATAAACAAACAAACAAACAAACAAATAAGTGGTCCAGGTCAGAACCCCAGCATTGGTAACTTCCTCACTTTTTACAATTCTAAGGAATAATTTACCTACAATGAAATGCACAGATCTTAAGTGTTTATTTTGGTGATTTCTGACAAATTCAACCCATAACCTTTCTTTGTAGAAGACATTTCCTTCACCCTAGAAGATTCTTTCATGTCCCTTCCCAAACCACTATTCTGATTTCTATCACCAAAAATATCAACATTTTGTAAAGCTCCCCAGGTGAGACAGCTGAGAACGTCTAAAGAGAGATACCAGAAGCTGGCAGAGACCCTATTTGCTTCTTGAAGGATAAGAGGGGTTCAACCAGTCAAGATGGCAAAAGAAGTCATGCTGTGTCTCACTCCTTCCCTTCCAAGCCAAATGCCTGCACTTTCCATATAATGGCTCTCTGGAAAGTTATCAGGGACCACCATCACGGCCAAGCTCGTTGGCGTTCCCTGAGGCTGGCCTTAATTGACTGGGCAACATCTTTTTTAAGAAACTTCTTCCTTGGTTGTCATGACACTTTTCTGCTGGCCTTCCCCTAGCTTTCCGCCCCCAGTCTCTTTTTCTGTCTTTCCCCCTCAAACTGTATTCTCTCCTCATGATACACACCTTCCCTGGAGTCAGCCATCACCTGTGTGCTGTGGGCTCCTAAATCCTGCCCCTACCTCTGGATTCAGACATCCAGTGCCTTTGGACATCTCTACTTGACCCTGTCATCCTTCCTTCTCAGTCCTTCTGCACTCCCAGTAAGTGGCCACGCTGAGGCAAGTGAGAAGTAGGATTAGTCCAGGGTCATTACCCAGAGTACTACCTAGAGTGGTCTCTGGGGTTTAAATCTGCTCCATTCACCCCACCAATTTCCAAATATTAGGAAGCCAGTAAACTATTCTGTCCAGAGGTGCCTTGCTCCATATGGTAGACACTAGGATGGCTATTCATTAAGGGGCTATTCAAATTAAATTAAAAATTTAAAATTCAGTTCATTAGTCCCAATAGCCACATTTCAAGTGTTCAGGAGTCACAAGGAGCTAGCTGGCTACCATACAGGACAGAGACAATATGAAATATTTCTATCATCATGGAAAGTCCCGTTGGACAGCACTAATCCAAAAGTGAGACAATATGAGAATCAAAAAGAATAACAGCTGCAATAGACTGAAACACACAAAATATGCTAAAACCTAACAACTAAAAAGATCTAATTAGTCACGTTGGGAGGATGCTAGGGAACCATTATTCTGATAAATAATGGGGGTAAAAAATCGTACATTTATCCAGTCTTTCCTGTATGACCTGTAACTCATGGTAAACAATGAATTGATTAGAGCACATTCTTTGTTTTTAAACCTGGTCACCGGCAGTACTTCCTATGGCTACAGGGTGGCCCCAAAACTTGCTTTTGAGAGATGCCTCCGTAGAGCAGGCTTCTGTGAACCAAGGTCACTGAAAGTGACAGGACAGACCTAAATGCCTGCTGTTTCCTAATTCACAGTGTGAACGTTGACTACCAGTTTTTACTATCTATAGGTCCCCTAGGCAGGAAGACTATTATGAGCACAATGCCCCAAACTTCCAGCTATTGGAGCCCAAAATCAAAGCCAGCTTTGATCCCTCCCTTTTCCTCACCCACCCACAGTCCCGTGTTCAGATTTCCTTATTTTCTAACGATCTCTAGATTCTTTCCACTTCACTCCGTCTCCTTGACTCCACCTTGTCCAATCTCATTCTTTCCTTCCTGGATAAGTCTATGGCTTCTTCACAAACCTACTGCTTAAAATCTTCTTGAAAATCCATTCTCCATATTGTAACCCAAGTCATCTTTTGGAATACAAATTTGAGCCTGTCCTCCTCCCCTCCCCACCTTGGCGGCAAGGCCTGTCTACTCATCCCACTTCACCCTGATTTCTTCTTTCTCTTCCACTACTAGGCTTCAGACACACTAGCTCCTTTTCTGTTCAACAAACACACTGGGCTTGTTCCCACCTAAGGAACTTTGCCCTTGTTGTGCCTCTGCCTGGAATGCTCTTTTCCCACATCTTCACACAGCTGACTCCTTCTCTTCACTTTATTTGTTCCAGGGACCTTGGAGAATCTTGCAAAAAAAAAAAAAAAAACCCAGATCCTGGGCTTTCCTCACTTTCACTCTAGGAGAGTCAGACTTGATAAACTATCCGGGGGAGCTTGGCTCTGAAGGCTTGGGCTCTCTATTCCTAGGAGAAAGGGCATGTAAATTACAGGCAGAGAGAAAAGCATAAAAAGTTCTTTAGTCCTTGAATCTTGTCTATGTGCTAAGAATGTTTCCATGCTTGCAATTTCCATGTCGATGTGCAAAGGAAGCCCACCACTCATTGTACTTTAGATGTCATCAGTATCACTCATTTTAAGGGTCATCTCATGGGAAGGAAGCAGTGAGGTCTACTGTACTTGACTAGGCGGTGCGGGGCCGCGCCACCGCACACTCTCTGGTGCCGACAGCTCTGCTGCGCTTGAGGAGGCGGCCGGCAGAAAGCGATCGGCACCTGGCCGGGACCCGGTACCTGCCCTCCGCAGGAGGTCCGCCGCGGCTCGAGAATTTACTGATCTCGCGAGATTTTCAGAGATCCCATCGAAGCGCCCGCTCACGCGGTTACCAAGGCAACTAGGTGGTGCCTGCACTAGCGGGAAGGAGGCATACATCGAATTTTCGCTGCTAACCTGAGAGATTTGAGAAGCGGCCTTCCCTGAGCTTCCAGCCCCAGAGACCACGGCCTCTGCTCCAGGCTGTACCCCTGCCCCTGGGGGCCATGGGCCGGATTTCGGGGCTCGTGCCCTCTCGTTTCTTGACGCTCCTGGCGCATCTAGTGGTCGTCATCACTTTATTCTGGTCCCGGGTAAGACCTATGGCCCCTCTCATCTCGTCCCCATTCCCACCTTGGGGTGGTCCCAGCCCCACCCAACCCTTTCCCCCGGGCCCTTACCCGGTCGCTTCCTCCCATCCTTTGCCACCCGACCTCTTTGAACTTTTCTTCCTCTCTGCCCAACTCCCCAGGACAGCAACATCCAGGCCTGCCTGCCTCTCACGTTCACTCCCGAGGAGTATGAAAAGCAGGACATTCAGTGAGCACTCGGGGTGTGGTGGTCAGAATTAAGCAGCAATGGGAGTGAAGGGATCTTAGAAAAAGATCTGAAGGCCTGAGCCATCCCCCTTCCTTTTTGCAGGTTGGTAGCAGCACTCTCTGTCACTCTGGGCCTCTTTGCAGTGGAGCTGGCCGGTTTCTTCTCGGGAGTGTCCATGTTCAACAGCACCCAGAGCCTCATCTGTATCCTTTCTACTTGCGCACCTTTCCTGCACGGCCCCTTTCCATCACAACTCCCTCCAGCCATCTAACTAGGTCTTTCTGGTACAGTGGTTTTTGCCCTAGTAGGCAGACAGAATTCCTCCAGTTGAGAGATCTTAGGCAATGTGGAAGATTTAATACAATCTTTGGTCATTTGTTAAGCTCCTGCTATGCACCAGGCAATGGTGATCTCAAAATGGGAGTGAAACAGTTTTCTACCTTGAGGAAGAGGCAGACACATAGACATCTATAATTCAATGTTCATAGGATGTGTAAAAATATGAAGCACTATGGGAACTCAAAAGAGACTAAGGTGGATCAGGGAAGGCTCTCAATATCTGAATTTTGGATGAGGAGGACCAGGGTGCTGGAGAGTGATTCCGCAGAGTGTATAATGTCACTGTGAGCATTTCTCTGTGCCTGGAGTAGATGGGGGGCCTACTACCTCACCTGAAGGGTCCAGGCTAGATATGTAGTGGGTATAGCTTGGGGTCCCAGCTATGCAGGCTCAACTCTGTCCTCTACTCACATGATTGTCCTAAAATTTGGAAGTCAGGGCTGCTGGCTCTGGCCTTTGCAATGTGATAAAGGGAGCAAGAGGTGCTCTGTTCTCCAGGAGGTGAATGCAGATGCCAGCCCACCCTAGCTTTTTGTGGGCCATCACTAACAACCTGTTGATCCAAAGGCTTTCCTTGACCCTGGTGCGTTCCCAAGCTATTGGGGCTCACTGTAGTGCATCTGTGTCCCTGTCCTTTTTCATATTTGAGCGTTGGGAGTGCACCACATACTGGTACATTTTTGTCTTCTGCAGGTATGGTATCGCCCAATGTTTGGGGATAGGGAAGGAAGATTTACTCTAAATCTGAAGATTTCCCCTACCCAGCCCTTACTCCATTTATGAGATATCTGATCCACTCAACATCTTGTAGTCTTTTGAAGTCCTCCCCTCCTACACTTTTGGGGTGGGATCTCTAGTTTGGGAATTTGGTTATTTTTATTGGAAGGGGCCCTAAACTGACCACCTAACCTTCCGCAGTGCCCTCCCAGCTGTCACTGAAATAGCATTATTCATCAACGTCTTTGGGCTGAAAAAGAAACCTTTCTGATACTTTCATGGCCAGAAGTAGGAATAAAGGCTGGAGGAGCGAAGAACGACTCACCGTTTCTGGAAGAAGGAAACCACAGGCTTCAGCTCTCCCCCTAAAACTCCATTTCGTGGAGAATGTCATTGTTGGTGTTTGGGTAATTATCTCTCGAATCTGAAATTATCTGCATTTTGTTTGTAGTTCTTTTTAATGAAATATATTTTAGGATAAGATCAAGATTTATAAAAGTTTCAGGGGAGAATTGGGGTGGCCAAAGTACTAGAGAAGCGGAAATCAGTTTTTCGGCCTTACAGACTGTAAGATAATAGGTATCGCTTTTATTTTAGTTATTACGGTAGCGGGCTGGCGGAAGAGCGTGGGCGGAGATATGTAAATAACATGGTGCGTGTCAGGGCACCCAGCTCGTGAGTGGTGCATTCTGGGAGGAGTTCACTTATCCTTTTTTGTCAGTCAAGTGGAAAAACGGACTTTAACAATCTGCAAATTAGTGTAACAACAGAAATGGAAGAACCTAAGCACCTTTAGTTTGCTTGGTTTGCTGCGTTATGTACTCACCCTTACTATTAGTGGGATCGTTTCCCCAGAGTATGGACTGCCGCAGCTAAACCGGTATCGTCAGGTAGGATAATCCTTACCTGTTCCTCCATTTGGAGGGCAGAATAGAATATGATGATTGGAGCTCGCATGATTCGTGATTAACGGCTCTGCGTGATCGGGACTTGCAACACCCTGATCGCTCCTATCTGATTCTAACTGGCGATCGTTGTTCTTATTTTCGTTTTTAACGAACAGTGTTTTGTTACGAAGTTGTTCAGGGAAAATTGTTATCATTTTGTATATAGTGGCTATCGATGGGTATGTATGTTCTATTTGTAAGAGCAAGAATGTTTTTAGGATTGTTTCCTAGAGAAGGTTCTGTGAATAATTTTCACCCCTCTGGCTATTCTAACTAAACAAAAGGCGCCCAAGGAGGTGCTTTCTGATTGTGCTCCTCGGGTCGTGCCTCCACGCAGATAACGTTCTGTCCCTTCTGACAGCCCTTCGTTTTGAGTATTCATTCAGTGAGTGCTTACTGAGCATATACTATACGCAAAGCACTGTAGTAGGTACTTAGTGAATATGACCCATAACTCTGCCCCCACCATCACAGATATCATGGTTCATGGAGACAGACAAGAAGCAATTTCTGGTACTCCCAGAGTAATTTAATAGCAAATTGTGATACATGCTACAAAGGAGACTTACAGATACTGTGGAGTAAGGATTCATTTGCTAAATGTGGCAGGAGTATTGCTCCTACAAGATCAGTTTGAGTGAGGTCCTGAAGTGTGGCTTGAGCAGAGAGGTAGGGGAGCAGATTGTTCCCGAGGCAAGAAAGGTGGACAATACGGGCTATGGTTACAGGCTTGATAAGGAAAGTCACATTCCACTGCAATCTGGCTTTCACCACACCCAGTGATGTGCTCTATTAACTTGTGAAAACTGATTGTTTTTCAAAAACATTGTGGACTGGTTGTTAAATGCAATTATCAAAAATTAAACCATGTAATCTTGCAATTAAATACATTTTTTTACATTTTTATTGATTCATAATCATTTTACAGTGTTGTGTCAAATTCCAGTGTTCAGTACAATTTAAATACATTTTTAAACAGAGAGAATAAATACTCAAAACTCATTACGTCCTGGTTATTTTCTAAATTTACTATTATATGTTTTTAAGATCATCTACATTTATTGTATCTGTATGGTGGAAATACTATAAAATTATGTACTACTGTGTATCTCTTCCCAATTTATTTAGTGACATCAAGTCAATAGTTTGAAATTGGCCTGAGTGGGAGTATCTACACCACAAAAATTGGCAAATTCTACATATCAGGTTTTGTTGCTTGTCTCCACTTAAGAAAGTGATGTAGAAAATGTTAATAATGCAGGTTAAATTTTTAAGTGTCATGTCTGTGACTGTTACATTGTGAATAGCACAAAAAATTGAGGGAATACTCTCCCAAAATTTGAAAACTTACCGGATTCAGCAAAGAAGTCACCTAAGTAATTGAAAAATCTGTGAAGTTTCAACGTATCTTCAGTGTTTCATTTTTGTCTTACTTGAAAATGTAAATAAAAATATCAACCAACGTTCATATTGGAACTTAGGCTACAACTCCATTTATGAAATCATGGATATAAGAGTAGAATTTACAATAAAGAATACTGTATATTTTATTTGTAAATTCTGTGTTACACATCCTTTTATCAGTAAAATATACACAAACTTATTTTTTTAATTAAGCTTTTTTGGGGGGATTAGGTTTATTTATTTATTTTATATTTATTTATTTATCTTTTTAGTGGAGGCACTGGGTATTGAACCAAGGACCTCTGCATGCTGAGCACATGCTCTACCACTGAGCTATACCCACCCTTCCCCTTATAACAAACTTACGTATGTACATAAATGCATACTTTGTTGGGGGAAAGTTGCTTGTTAAATATTTACCAGAACTTTCCTGCTCCTACAGTCCCAAGAAACTGCTCATCACCGATGACTTTCTTGTTCCTAAATCTAGAAGTTACTTCTCAGACTTGAGCTTGACCTCTTTTCAGCATATAATATGGTGACCATATTTGAAATATGTTCTCCCTTGTCTTCCCCTGTCTTACCTCCCGCTGTTCTGGCTACTCCGTCTTAAATTTCGTCTCATGAGTTTTGATTGAGAACCCACAGCCTGCCAGTCACTGAGGATGTATTACCAGGTTGTTGTGGGACACAAGGCTGGCCGGTGTTGCACAGGCGGTAAAAGAATTTACCAAAGGATTAAAGAACAAAGAAAGTTTAATAGAGATGCTGTTACAGGCAACAGTGGGCCACACAGACCAGAAGTGCCTGTGTGAGTGCCAGGGTGAACGTGTAGGGTCTTTTATTGGGCGGAAGGGGCTGTGAACACAATGGGTAGGGGGCTGTGTGATTAATTCGTGCACAGATACCTGACTAGTTGTAAGATCTGTCAGGGCTACTCTGAATAATAGGATTAACTACTCTAGGGTATTGTGAGGTGGGCTCTTTCTTGGGGCAGTTTAGTTTTGTTAGGGTAAATACTCATGAAGAGAAGATACTTTTTTAATGGAGGGGTAGGTAATTTTAGGGGTGTATGTGCGTGTGCGTGTGCGTGTGTGTGTGTGTGTGTTTAAACATAGGTACTGGGAATTGAGTGCTAGGCATGCACTCTGCCACTGAACCCTCCCCCGAGAGAAGATGTTTTTATCTTACAGAAATGCAGGTTTGTGAAGGGTCCTACAGTGGGGAGTGGGGATTAAGTTGTCAGTACACTCCAGGCACAAGGAGAGCCCAGGAGTGGGGGCTTTTTAATGAACTTCACAGAGCTCCAGTCTGCTCCACAGTTGTCTCCTCGGCTTGTCCCTTAAACATTGATGGTCACTATTCCTTGGGTGACTTCTCCCACCTCCCATCTTCCAACACCACCGAGATGCTGTTAGTTTCCATGTCTGGACTCTCTTATATGAGACCCAGCCCAGGGCAAAGACCGGAGCAAGCTGTGGAAGCAGTCCTTGGTTTAAGGTGCAGCCTCTCCTTCTTGGCTGTGTGATTGGCAACAGGTCACTTAACCTCTCTGTGCCTCACATCCTTCATCCACACTCCAGAAGTCTCTACTACAAGCACTTCAACTATCTATCTCTTAGTAAACACTAGAGGTTTGCCAGCTAGCATCAAAAATAGGTTTTCATTTTATTGTGAAATTAGTGGCTTGTTAATCAGCATAAGCCAGTCAGGAAAAGACAAATACTGCTTGATGCTACTTATATGAGTTCAGTTTTGGAAGATGAAAAGAATTCTGGAGATTGGTTGCACAACAATATGAATGTACTTAGCACTACTGAATTGTACACTTTAATTAAAAACGGTTAAGATGGTAAATTTTATATTATGTATTTTTTATAATTTAAAAAATAGGTAATTTTAAAATAAAAAATCAGTGGGGAAAAGGGATTAGTCAGTAAAAGTTATTAGAACAACTGAGTAACAATTTGGGGAAAAATATGGATCAATACCTTATGCCAATGTTACTGATAAATCAAAGATTACAGTATTAAAAAAAAACCCATAAAAGTACTTAAAGAAATCTTGACATTTCTAACTTTTTTATTTGGAATTATTTTATTTTATTTTATTTATATATGTTTTATTGAAGTATAGTCAGTTTACAATGTTGTATTAATTTCTGGTGTACAGCATAATGCCTCAGTCATACACGAACATACATGTATTTGTTTTCACATTCTTTTTCACCATAAGTTACTACAAGATGTTGAATATAGTCACCATAAGTTACTACAAGATGTTGAATATACTGTACTATACAGTATGAACTTGTTTATCTATTTTATATAAATTAGTATCTGCAAATCTCAAACTTCCAGTTTATCCCTTCCCACCCCATTCCCCTCCCTGGTTTGTTTTCTATGTCTGTAAGTCTGTTTCTGTTTTGTAAATTAGTTTGTTTGTCTTTTTCTTAGATTCCACATATAAGTTATACTATATGGTATTTTTCTTTCTCTTTCTGGCTTACTTTACTTAGAATGACAGTCTCTAGGTCCATCCATGTTACTGCAAATGGCATTATTTTATTCTTTTTTATGGCTGAGTAGTATTTCATTGTATAAATATACCACACCTTCTTTATCCAGTCATCTGTCAATGGACATTTAGATTGTTTCCATGTCTTGGCTATTGTAAATAATACTGTTATGAACATTGGGGTGCGTGTATCTTTTTGAATTGAGATTCCCTCTGGATATATGCCCAGGAGTCGGATTGGTGTATCATATGGTAAGTCTATTTTAAGTCTTTTGAGGAATCTCCATACTTTGGAATAATTTTAGATCACAGAAAATTTGCAAAAATATTGCATATTACCTGTCTACCCTTCACCCAGCTTCTCCAAATGTTTTACACAGCCTTGGTATAATTATGGAAACCAGGAAGTTAGTGTTGATACAATACTGTTAACTAGTCTACAGGTCAGTCTTATTTGAATTTTTCCAGTTTTCGTATTAATACCCTTTTTCTGATTCAGGACCTAATCCAGGATTTCACCTTGCATTTTGTTGTCACATCGTCTTAGCTTTTCCAATCTGAGACCATCCCTCAGTCTTTTTTTTCTTTTTTCCCTTTCATTATCTTGACGCATTTGTGGAGTACTGATAGGTTATTTTGCAGAATGTCCCTCAATTTGGTTTTGTCTAATGATTTCTCATGATTAGACTGAGGTTGTGCAATTTTATAAGAATATCACAGAAGTAAATAGTTTGGGGAAGACATAAGTATGAAATCAAAACGTAGAAGTCACAAAAGACTGGTATTTAAATATACATTTACAATGTTAAAAGTATGCATGGTTAAAAAAATAAGCAAAGGTTAAAAAAATAAGCAAAAGTTAAAAGATAAATGATAATCTAGGGAAGATATTTATCACTCATATTGCAGAGAAAGAGCTAATTTTGATACATAAAAATGTCCTACAAATCTGTAAGAAAAATCAATAATCCAATAAAAATGTATGAAAAACTATAGACATTTGCCAAAAAAGGAAATATAACGGACTCTCAAATATATGAAGAGATGCTTAGTTCACTCACCATAAGAGAAATGCAAATCATATTTAGCTTACATTTGTAATGACCACTTGCTTGTGGGTGGGAGTAAAAATTGGTAACACATCCACCTGAGAGCAACTTG